TGAAAATCATATGCCCTCCCTTTAGATTTGTTCTGGCGCCGGGTCTGCCCATCAGTGTATCCTCGATTATAGTCCTCGAAGTGCATTTAGAGAAATTAGATGTCCTTCAACATGGCGCGCTGAAATTCATTTCCGGGTCACTACCGGAGGACCTTCGTCTTTTGCTTTGGGTTTTCTGGCTGGCCGCAAACAACTTCACGGCGTATACTGCCACCTGAAGTCCCCGGCCGGAAGTCCCTCGAGTTGGGGGATTTACTCGGAAGGCTTCAGTAAATCGCCAGAACGACGACACCTCCTCATCACTCCACCGCTCCCATGTTTTTTTTTGTGTTGCCAAAAGTTAGTCTCTCTCCATTGGTGCGCAGAGCTAATTCTAATGCTAATAATGCTAATGCCAGCAAATGCACAAAACTTTTCCGACTTTTCCGGGGAGTGGTTTGAGGTCACACTTTGCCGAACTGCATTGTGGTTCCGTCGCTTCGCTTTGCCTCCGTTGCTCGCTTCAAAAGTAGAGAAAAGTTCAACTTTTCAAGCATCGGCGGAAGCGTCAGCCAATCCAATCATATGCCAGTACAAGCTCTAGCCAATCAATCAAACCTTGTGCTTGTGTGTCCGGGGCGGGAGATTCATGTGATTGATTGTTGGTCGAGCTTCAGACACGCCCGCTGGCAAGCTTCAACGCACGCTGCCGTGTGGACGCTGCGTGAGTCTCTCTGTCTCTATGTCTCTCTGTCTCTCTCTCTCTCTGTCTCTCTCTCTCTCTCTCTCTCTCTCTCTCTCTCTCTCTCTCTCTCTCTCTCTCTCTCTCTCTCTCTCTCTCTCTCTCTCTCTCTCTCTCTCTATCTCACAAAATGCGCTCATGCCACACACACGCTCCGTGACGATGACCGCTGGCGTAAAAAATAATAATAAACACATTTTGAAAAGTGTCCCCAGTTGAAATTACGCCCATGCGTAGGTTACATTCCACGGCACTGTAAGTGCAGACGTCGATGTGTCCCATTATCATTCATATCACATCATATCACAGCATAATGTATCATATATTTCCTTATCTGAGTCAACTGAGCTGTATCTGGCCGTGCAACACTCACAGTGTCACATACTGTATGCAGAAGTATTATTTTAAGCAACACATTAAGTTGACGAAACACTAGAGTCAAATGTAATTAAAGTCAGATCCACTCGTGTCTTAGACGGGGCAGTGATATCATAAACCTGTTAATGTATGCATTCAAACATTTTTTACCAGCTGTATTCACCTTGCAGGTGCAGCGATGTGGCTTTTATCCTGGATAAATTGTTTAAGTCATGGATGTTTAAAGTTTAACGTCTTCATATATGTCTAATATTATAGTTGACTTTTCATTCAGGAAGTATGACGCTGTGCTGTCAGTACGCTTCTCCATGTTTGTGATTGGTCGAATGCTCCAAATACCACCCCTTTCATGTGAATGTGCACCTAACTATAGGGCAAAACTGGCTTGAGTTAACAAGTTGATGACCGGCGTCGTAGGACAGTTTAGCGAGAGCACGTTTGTTTTGGATTAGGTAAAACGGCTAACTCAAACATATCCAGGATATGTTGAACTGGATTCGTAGTACAGGCCTCAGGGGATTTCAAAGAAAGCTCTCTGGAAAATGTTGACTTATGTTTAGTGTTCGACATGAAGCTAGAAGCTAGCTAAGTCACAGGGAAGTGATTTGTAAAATATCCATAAAGAAATAGAAAATCTGTTTACAGTTCTGTTTTATATGGGTGTTGAAAGATGTATCCATATCTCTTAATTTTGCTCTCAAAGTGCACCAGATTGAAGCTTTTAACTTCAATATTTAAAAAAAAAAATCTTCACGCGGGAGCATGCCCCTGGACCCCCCTGAGGTGAGGATGCCCCTAGAGGAGGTGAGGACCCCCCTAGAGGGGGTGAGGTTACCCCTGCTTACACCTATATGCCGTGAGCTGATTTTCGAGCCTTCATTGTTACAGTCGCGGGTGCACTGTGTATGTGCGTGTGGGGAGTGTTGCAGTAGAAATGTCCACTGTAGTTTTTGAAATGGTGAATAAACCACACAGGGAACATTTTGAGAAATGACCCCTTAAATCAGGGGTGGGGAACCTCCGGCCCCCGGGCCGTATACGGCCCGCGAGACCATTTGGTTTGGCCCTCGAGGTAATTTATAAACACACGCAAACAAATTAAAGAAATCTAGACCGCAAAATAATTAAACAAGCGAGTGCCTGTTTTTCCTGGCAACGGTCATGGTCCTTGAACACAACACGAACCTAACGTGGTGTCATCCCGTGGTATATGTCTCGTCTGACAGGGGTGCAGTGCTGACGGAGAGCACCAGAACGCCGCTCCGGGACTTCAAAAAAATTGCAGTACCCATAAATCCGTAGGCTACACATGCTGCAGTTTTTGCGTGGCTGTGTCTTTAGTTGAAAGCCCAGTGGCGATCTGTTCATCTGTCATTCTGATCATACAGTCAATAACTTTGTTATTAGCATCTGGTTAGCCAGCTATGCTAACGAATATAAGAAGCTTTTTCTCCAACCAGTGAGGTAAAGGCACATCTTTATATGATCATTATAGTTATCATAAAACAAGATAATAAAGTAAACAGGTATAAAATACTATATGACAGTAAAAAAAAGTTGTTAAACAAGAATAAACAAGAATACAGTTTAAAAGGAGAGTGATTTGTAAAATATCCATAAAGAAAAAGTAAATCTGCTTACAGTTCTGTTTCATATGGGTGTTGAGAGATGTTTCCATAGATCTCTTCATTTTGCTCCCAAAGTGCACCAGATTGATGCTTTCAACTTCAATATTTAAAAAAAAATCTTCCCGGGGAAACAAGCCCCCGGACCCCCCTAGAGGAGGTTAGGTCCCCCCCACTTAAATCATGTCCATGGATAGGAAACTAAATACATATGCACACATCTTGTGTCCATATCTTTCTGTTTGGTGGTCATGCCACAACCGTGCACGTGAATGCATGCGCGAGTCATGGCAAGATATCTGGATTAAGAGGTTGCTTTTTCTTTGCACAGCATGAAAGAAAGGCCAAATGAATGTGCTGTGATTTTTAAGCAGAGGTCAATAATTTGTACGGCCCTCGGAGGATGTTGAAAAAATTGAAATGGCCCTTGAGAGGAAAAAGGTTCCCCACCCCTGCCTTAAATGATGACTTCTGGTGATGTTAGAGATATGAGAAGACTGATCAATACCTCCATAATCTTCAGTGTGGTTAGCTATGAATCTTCCAAAACTTCCAAACACCTTGTCCTGGACATAGTTTCTACAGTAAACTGTGCAACAGTACAGTAGGCTCACACAAACTGCAGAACACCGGTTCTTTGGGAACACTCAAATTATTTAATTCCCATTTAAAATCAGGAGACTAAATACGACCATTATATGCAGACACAGACGTGGTTCAGAAACACAGAAATATTATAAAACAGACCATTAAGGCAACAAATGTAGTTTGATGGATGCTGTCAAAACTATATACAATAATATGTGTGTGTGTGTGTGTGTCTTTATTTATCACGGGCACACAAGAGGTTTCTCAATACTCTAGTTTCCCCTCCTCGACTCCGGAGGACCAAGGAGTCGGAGTGGTCAGCGCGCCATGTGGTCAGCGCGCCATGTGGTCAGCGCGCCATGTTGAAGGACATCTAATTTCTCTAAATGCACACCGAGGACCGAGCATCGAGCATCGAGGAGGCTCTCTGGAGGAGCTCTAACCGAGGATACACTGATGGTTCCTCCACGGCTCCTCCGCGGATGCATTTCCGGGAACGGTGGAGGCGTTACGCACGGCCGGACTTATCTCAGCCAATGACAGCTCTGCATGCATCCCCTGGATATTATTTTAGTAACTGCTTTCATCGCCGCACTCGATGACTTGGAGAAGACGTGCATTGCTGAACTGACCTTCATTTTCTCAAAATGACTAGGCTCCAGGACGCCTCTAGACGGCTTAGGTGCCAGTTTTAGGGCCATTCCCTCTTGGTATGACACCAGATCCTTCAGGGGGCCAACAGACACCACACTGGACGGCAGCTTCTCTTTGTCCACCACATCCTGTGGTATGGTGATGACGTGACCATTCACCAAGGCACTCTTTAAATTGTTCACCACGTGTGGAACATCAGGCATGAAGTACAGGTGCTGGTGTGGCTTCACAGGATGTGCTGTCCACGGCTTGTCATAGGTCACCCCAAAGGACTTCCACATAGCCCTATTGGGGCTCCCCATATCAGTAGTGATGTTAACCACATGAAGCCCTATAGATGCCGCTGCTTCAACGATGGTGAGTATTATGGGCCGGTACACTGCACCGTCAGTAGAATTACCACTGTAGTGGTAAGCCACAACCTGTTTCCACCGCGTAGTAGCACCAGCCAGCATGAACACTAAGGCATGAGTGGCCTGGCCTTTGTGGCCAGGTAGTGTTGTGTTCCCAAACAGCCTCCCTGTTCCCAGATGCAGCTCCACACTAGGGGTGATGGACATCTCATCCAAGGTGAGCACACATTTCTTCTCCATCTCACTCATGCCATCTGCCTTCAGCCTCAGCATATCAAACACCTCCCCCAACACTCCTGGCTCCAGTTTGACGTGCTGCATCCTCCTCTGAATGGTCCTGATGTCAGGCAGAGGCATATTCATGGCTTGGAGGGTTTTATATCCTGTAGTGCCACAACAGAACCTTAGTTGTATTTCACGGTTTCTTTCCCCTACCGTATCCCACCTTTTTTTGATTGCCCAAGTGCTCTAATTTGGTCTGTGTTGAAGATTTTTTTAAACTTTAGATTAATCAAATTGTGTTTTTTTTTTAATGCCGAATGAATCCTTTTCTGGTTTACCAGAGCCCTCTCTGCTCTCTTTCTTAGTAATCTCTCCCTTCTCAGTTGCCTCATTAGATCCTCCAAGTGAGCCCGGTCACAACTGGCCCTTGGCAGTCTGTTCCCTGGAGCACCTGACGCTGGCAAACTGGCCTCTTCATAGCTGACCCCTGACTGACTGGCTCCTGGCACACTGATCTCTGGTAAGGTGGCCTCTTGATTGTCGGCCCCTGACATACTGGCCCCTGGCAGTCTGCTGACATCTGTCTCACTCTCTCTGTCTGTTATGTCCCTTTCATTCCCTTGGAACTCCACCTGAATATCTCCCTGAATCTCTGTAACAATAACAAGGCAATTGCTGTTATATGTGTATGCTGCCTTTACATGTGCACCTATTGTCATTTAAGGGTACACTACACTCCTATAGTGACATTCATCTAAGTTCGTCTATTGGCAATGTTAAAGTATGAAGACATCTGTAGATGATCTACATGTGGTATATGAGTCTTCAGAGAATCCCTGAACCCTGGTAGTTTTGAAGCTGTATAATCTGAAGGTTGCATTAGGAGTGTAGTCTATCCTTGAATTATATAACATGGGAAACATTGTTAGCTTCATATATCATACCAATGTTTGATGTGCCATAATAGGTGTGGTCATCATTCCTGACAGCTGGAGGCATACTCCTTGACGTGGATGTCCTCCTTTTCGGCTTAGGCCGATGTATAAATATTGTTGGAACAGCATCTGGCCTCAACCTCAAATTTCCTCCTGATTTGTTGCCAATATATTGGTCGTCTTCAAAGTGTACCTGTAGGTAGGTAGGTTTGATCAGTTTCCACTCCACACTTCAAATGTCATTGAAGAGTCATAATTCTCTACACTTGGAAATATGATGCCCTTTAAAATGGTAACAAGTCATGTCACCTCTGTGAACATTACTTACATGACAGAGTTTTCTGCTGTTGTTGTTGTCCTCTGTCAGACACAGGTTTTGTCTGTTGACCATTGCCATCCATCTCTTCCTTCACTCTACATCCTTAGGGGAGCCATACATCCGGAACCCCTTCTCGGATCGATTAGAGCATCCAAATGCTGCACATCCAACCATGGTATGACAACTGATCTATTAAAATGCAATATAAACGAAAGTGCCATAATATTTATTGTGCAAACATTTTAACATGAATATTGCTATGTCCTCTGTTCAGTCTGCTCCCAACTGTATTCTCTCCCCTTATTCACCACTGTTCCTATTCTTGCTCTGCTTTTTAGGGCCCAGGAAACAGATGAAGAGGATGTCCCTTTCACAAAGGAACCTTTTTGTTTTTTTCAAAATGGTCAGGCTCCTGGATGCCCTAGAGTTCTGTATTGCTTTTTTGTAAATAGTTACTTACCCTAACCCTTTTTTGTAAACAGTTGCTTACCCTAACCCTTTTTTGTAAATAGTTGCTTACCCTAACCCTTTTTTGTAAATAGTATTGCTTTTTTATAAATAGTTGCTTTTTTGTAAATAGTTGTTCGCACAATTATGCTTCTGTTTTTCACTTTTTGGTGTCCAATGTTCAGCCACTGTATTGGTAAGCAACAATTTGTTTTGGCCAAAATGTGTTATTCACACTCCTGACTCCAGTTTGATGTGCTGCACTCTCCTCTGAGTGGTCCTGATTTCAGGCAGAGGCATATTCATGCTTGGAAGGTTTTATATTCTGTAGTGTCTCAACAGAACCTGATATGAATTGCTTTATTGTCTCGTCGCTGGATCACCTCCCCCTGGCAACGTGGCCTCGTTATTGTTGACAAACCTGTTTTTGTTGCTGGTTCAACAGGAGCTTCTGTAAATAGTTTTGTAAATAGTTTGAATATTTATCATAGTAATCATTTTTAGTCTCCCACTCTCTCAATTTAATTTATCGTTTCTTTGCCCCACCAGATGTTTTGTTGTCCAAGGGCACTAATTTGGTCTGTGTTGAAGATTGTTTTACACTTTAGATTAATCAAAATTGTGTTTTTTTGGCTGAATTAATCTTTTTCTGTTGAACCCTAACCCTCTTTGTTCTCCTTCTCATTCATTTGACTTTGTTTTGTTCTAACACACATCCCTTTTTCCATACACTGTTCTTAATACTTGTTCACACATGTGTTCGTCCCTTTTACTTTGTTCTTCCTGTTGTTCTTGTTCAAACACATATATCAATTGTTCATCCACTGTTGTGGTAAAATGATATTCATAGTCTTAACATGATCATGCTACCCATGCTAACATAAACACAAACGTTTCCCTCCAAAAATATAAAACGTATCTAAGTAATAGGCTACAAAGCTTTCCGTTGTCACCCTGCCTCTCCAAATGCAAAACTGTCAATAAAAAGTATGCAATAATGCAATTACAGCTGAAAAAGTACTTGGGTGTGTGTGTTTTTTATATATATATATATATATTTACCATTCAATAACGCAATCGCTGCTGTCTGTCTGTCCCATAGAAGAACATGACAGCGCAGCGCAACTATACTACGGACGTGACTGCCCTGGCAGTGACAGCAACATAGCCTGCTTGTGCTACCACACTTTCCCCTCAAAATATCGTTAAATAACGAAACTTATAAATAGTGCCAACCCATACAAAGTGTAACCACATCATGTAAATATGAAAGCAATCTTTAAAAAATAACAGCGTTGGTTTAATCTATGACTATTTTGACCATGTTTGTGCTGTTTTTGCCATAGAGAAGCATTACCACGGAAGTGCGTTTGGAACTATCCCGGCATACATAAACCACGTGACCGGCTGGCGGCGACATCAAAGAGTGTCGTAACTCTTATCTCTCTAGGGCTCTGGTATGAACCAATGAGCTTTGTTCTTAAAAGTTGACCATTAAACTAAAATATATTATAAAATAACTAAATAAATTATAAATTATTATTAACAAACAAAATACAAGAACCTTGTAACCTTGGTTTATCCAGTGCGTTACATACCATTTAAACACCATGAATAGGAACCATTTTAATCGCCATTTATTTTGCCCCAGAATGGCCTTGATCTAATTCTGGGTCCTGTTGATGTATTCTGCACATGTCAGGGTCATGTCAGATTCTGTGGTGTCGGCCTGGGCTTCAGGAACGATTGCTGTGATGCGGTTATATTGTAAAGGGAGTAAGCCGTCATAATGATGGAAACTATGAATGACTCAGAGAAAGGCTCTGGTCAAAGATCAGAGAACACTCTGAATGTGACGTCAGAGCAGCGCGTGCGCCGCCCGCTCCCTGCTCAGCTGTGTGTGTGTGCGTGTGTGTGTGTGTGTGTGAAAAAGTGTCTATGTATGAGGTGACAGTCGCTGCTAGCTTTCACACAACAAGGAAGTAGAAGATATATCGCTCAACTGAAGGCACAACCATCACAAAATCTTCGACTGTCCCGTCCGAGGTAAGCTCCTCAGAGGTGGCGGGTTTCGGGTCGGTTCTGAGCAGAAACCAACCGCCGGACCGCCGCGGAGCGTGTCATCCGCCGCGGTGGTGTAGCAGCTAGCTGTGAACGAGCAGGAAGCGTATTGTTTCCAGCATAGGGACACACGTAGCCTAATGTAGGCTACGGTCTTTCTACGTCTCTCCTTTGATATGCATTCGCTTTGTCGATACATTATTGATAACCGGAGCTTCTTTTTGTATACATATTTAGTGTACTATTCGACATAGAATACACAGAGGGAATAACCATATAGTTCCTGCTGTAGCTCCGGATACAGCCAGATGCTCTCAGCCTCAGTAAACACTGGGGGACCAAGTCAACATAATGATCTAAGGTCTCATTCACTGCCAGCGCTGTTTCTCTGGATGGGTTGTATGTCGTTTGGACATTATTGCCGGGAGATAGACACGTTGCAGCACAACACACCAGTTTGTTGGGATACCCCCCCCCCCAAGCTAAAGAGCTGTGCTTTGGAGTTAATTGCCATCAAATCAAGCTTCACTGGTAAAGCAGGGAAGGTATGGCAGGAAGCAGTGTATGTCACTGAGATGATCTACAAGTGTATACGGCAGCAGTGATTGAGCTCCCGGACTGGGATAGATTCCCTGGCTGTAACGTGGCCTGCTGCCTGCTCTCTGCTGCAGCACAGAGGAGCGTTTATGCAGCTAAAGCAGCTCCTGGAACATCAAGTCTCTCTGCAGAGCATTTCAGAGCTGCTCGGAGATCAGCTGCTCCTCCCCAGCAGACTGTAGCCCAGACTGTGTTCAGGTAAGGGGATAAGGATTCCCTAGGGTCTCGACGATAATTCAGGGTTATAATTCATTGTTAATAACCAGTTTACATTGCACATTTCCAATACAAGACTTAAAAAAAGTAACCAATTATTAATATTTTCTGATAGCAACTCGACATCTCAGAGCTTTCGGCTTTATTACAGACGGTAGTGTTCCTTCTCAGAGTTTCACTGTCCTTTAATGTGAGTCTGATCTTCGTGCTCTGATGGACACAGGCAGCATGTGGATTAGGCTGAGCTATACAAACCCAAATGTCAAATGACACCAGCTGGGAAAACGTGCACTTGCTTATTGTGTGGTACATCCTCAATTTCTTCATTCCCCTGTCTACCTCTCACTTCTCTATCAACTCCACCCTTTCTCCTCTCATCATTTGTTTTCTTCCTTCCTCCTCAGATCCCTTTTACTCGCCCCTCTCCCTGTCTTGTCATCTTCTCAGACTCTCCTTCCAGCTCCAGCGCATTCCGTGTCAGACATGTGTCCTCTTGCTGATGATCTCCCAGGAGTGTCCTCTGAGATGTAGTTGAGCAGAAGCACCATGTCTGCATGTACCCCATCAGCCTCTTCATCCTGAGCCCACATCAGCTGCCGTCCTGAGATTGTCAATATCTGTGTACAAACATGGCCGCTGTTCCTCCTGGGATTCGCATGCTGGTGTCCTTCGACAGGGACCAGTGGTGAGTGCAGTAATAGGTGTCTTAGAAGTACAAAGTAACATAACATTAAAATACTCAGGTAAAGTAAAAAAAAAAGTACTTAAATACCATACTTGAGTACATGTATTTGATTTACATTCCTTCAATGCAAATGTGTCTAACTTGATGACACACACACACACACACACCACACACACACACACACACACACACACACACACACACACACACACACACACACACACACACACCTACCTGGGTTTGGTTGTCATTGTATTGATGATACACTTCAGTGTGTCCATTTACTCCGTTCCAACTCTTGGTTGGAACCTGCTTGAAGACCAAATAAACACATTATTACTCACACAAGCTCAAGGTCATGTTTTCAGCGATCAAAATGATAGATACCGCGTTGTAGACATGGTGTGTGTGTGTGTGTGTGTGTGTGTGTGTGTGTGTGTGTGTGTGTGTGTGTGTGTGTGTGTGTGTGTGTGTGTGTGTGTGTGTGTGTGTGTGTGTGTGTGGTGTGTGTGTGTGTGTGTGTGTGTGTGTGTGTGTGTGTGTGTGTGTGTGTGTGTGTGTGGTGTGTGTGTGTGTGTGTGTGTGTGTGTTGTGTGTGTGTGTGTGTGTGTGTGTGTGTGTGTGGTGTGTGTGTGGGTGTGTGTGGTGTGTCCAGCAGTTTGGCCACTTCAGATCATCTTCTGTTGGAGGCCAAATGTGTGGAGCCTGTAGCTATGGTGACTGTTGCCATGCTTCATGTTGAGTGCCCTCCATGTAAGTGGGTTAAATATGCTTATTCATCAGAAACCTCTGCATTCCTTAGAATCACAATCAGGTGTATAGCCTTAGTAAGTTTACAGCGTAAACATGGGTAAGGGACAAAGCTAACAGAGTGATTTGCAAAAGCACACATCTAAGTTACAGGACATCCTGTATGTATAAAAACGTAGGAGGGTGTAACCTTGAAAACATGATAGTGGTAATGCGTGTGAACTGCCTGACCAGTTTGTAATCCAGCTGCCTCATACATTGTGTATATGTGGTCAGCATCTGTCTTTTACAGGGAGGCAGGATAACAGACTCATATAGAGATGTCGAGATAGCTGTCAGCAGCACAGCACACACATCATTTAAAGTTGGCCCCTCCCTCCCGGCTTCGCCAGCAAGCACGAGAGAGGAGTGAGAGGTGGTAGAGCGAGCTTCAGTGTGAATAAAAGAGGGAGCCACCTCATCAAGAACAAAACAGTGATTCAGAGGAATAAAATGTTCATCTGAGATTGTTTCACAGCACCTATGTTCTACAGCACATATAACCCAAGGTGTGCGTCTGTGTGTGTGTGTGCGTGTCCATTCCTTTGACATCACTACATTTACACACACAGTCACACATTGATGGAAGACTGCAAACTACTCATCCTTCAATTGAATGCTCTCAACACACACACCACACAACACACACACACACACACCACACACACACACACACACACACACACACACACACACACACACACACACACACACACACACACACTGATGGCTATGCCACAATGGTGGCTTCAGTATCTGGAGGAGTTGGGAGTTAAATCCCTGACTATTATTGACAACCCAATCAAACTGCTGAGCCTGCCCCCCCCCCCCCAGCTGACAGCCTGCATGGTCCTGACAGGGCTCTGTCAGGACCATGCAGTGACGCCCTCTTGTGTTTCCTCTGTGCAGGTACAGAGCGCTCACATTCATCCTCACCTTCCTGCTCTACACCAGCTTCCACCTCTCCAGGAAACCCATTAGCATCGTCAAGGTAACATAGCCTCATGACTTTTGAATACCACTGAAAACTATATATCATTGATGATCTCAAATGCCTCATCCTTTACTTAAGTACAAGTAAAAAATACTCTATCAAGTACAAATATAACATTCTCAATGTTACTTATGTAGAAGTATAGAAGTATTAACAGCTAAATGTACTACAAACATCAAAACTAAAAGTATTTAGTATGCAGAACAGCTCTTTTTACAGTTTTATGTTAGCATAGAATATTTAATTTTATTGTGTTTTTATCACAACAAATACACAGATGGGCATTTTATATTGTAGTTTGTCAATGTGGAGCCAATTGTATGTACTTTTTAGGATATGGGGTTGTATTTATATAGTACAGAACTCCATTTTATGTTATCTTGTAAATAGATCACATATTTTAATATTTAACTAGTAATTATGAGATGTTAAGTAAATAGTGAGTAAAGTACAATATTTGTCTCAAAAATGTTGTGGAGTAAAAGTATATAGTAGTGTAATGGCATCCAAGGTTTCCTTTTGCCACTATAGAGCGGGGTTGACGACACGCAATCCAAAGCAATAAGCAGCCGAAGGTTTTCAGTCAAAAAATGTAATTTATTAACAAAAACGTATTGACTTAAATAGTCTCAAAATAACAAATCTAAATCAATATTTCGGCGATATACTTTCTTATATAAACTATACTTTGCAGTCCAATTTGCAACACTAATCTCTGTTTAAAATTTGCGGTCGAAAAACTGTTCCGCTGCCCGTCTCATCCAAGCCCCCAGAAAGTGCGCCGAACTCGGATGAAAATATTCGTGCTGGCCAAACGGCGGTACTACACTTCCGTTTGGTTGCCAGGCCCGGAAACACTTTTTCCCATTGACTTACATGGGGAAAGAGTGGTCTGTAAATCGTTGGATAATTTTTTAAAAACTAAATAAACTACCCAGTATGAACGTTTGTATAGCCCTTATTAAAAATATTCGTTCCTCAAGTTGTAAAAATGTGCTAATAACGTTATTCTGAGAGTTATTTCCCTCTGCATTATGAACGCGCATCTAACCCACGGGACCGTGCTGCCCGGCACGTTCATGTTACGTGTTCAGCACTACACTACGTTTATCTTTACCCATGGATGCACACTAAGAACGGACCCATATCGCCTTACTGCCAGCCCACGGAGCTGTAATAATGGATATATTGCACATGTTTGCTGTAATTCATCATTTGTAAAATATTATACTACATGGGCTGTATGACACCCTCCCGGTCCTCCCAATAGCCAGCCGGTGCCTGCCGGTGAGCGTGGAAGTGTGGTCTGCCGCAAGCGGACGGCAGGAGCGGGGCTGTCAGCATCAGCTTGTAGATGGTATTTTAAACTCGATGTGCTCTGAAACTACGGGGCGGCCGAGGAAAAAAAATACATATGCGTTAATCGCGTTAAAATAATTAGTGGCGTTAATTTTTTTTTGCGTTAACGCGTTATTAATGCGTCAACTTGACAGCCCTAATATATATATATATATATATATATTAGGGCCGGGACTTTAACGCGTTAATTAAGATTAATTAATTACACAAAAATTAACGCGTTAAAAAAATTAACGCATTTTAATCGCACTTATTTTTGCACCGCGGAACGTTTCTCACTGGATGAGTTTCAGGCGTACCGATTATACTGGAGCACCAACTAACGTTCATGACTTCAGACAACAACAAACCACAGTGAACAACAGTGGGAAATGTTGTTTTAAAAAACGGATGGATGGAAGCGTCGATAAGAGCACGGTTGTGTGCAAATTATGCAAAAAGGAATTCGCATATCACCGCAGCACATCAAGCCTCAAGTATCACCTCAATGCAACACATATAGCAGCTAGCGTGGAAGCTAGCGTGGACGTTAGCCTCTTTTATCGCGTTCACACCAAAAAGAGCCGGTACTAAAATTAGTTCATGAGAACCTTTTTACCCCCACGAAAGTCCCTGCTAGAGAGCAGGGACTTTCGTACGGCTCTCTTGTGAGAAAAGAGCTATATGTCTGATTGGCTGGGCGGATTGCAAACCACGCCCCGTAAAACTCCCAAAAAGTTTTGTGAAGCCGCCATTTTATTATCCTCGCATTAGCATTATTAGCATTAGCCCAGCGCAGAAACGCAGAGAGACTAACTTATGGCAACACAAAATAAAACATGGGAGCGGTGGAGATGAGGAGGTGTCGGCGTTCTGGCGATTTACTCGGAAGGCTGCTGGGACTCCCAGCAGCTTCTACTGAAGCCAGTCCCCAACTCCGGGGACTTCCGGCCGGGGACTTTGGGCGGCAGTATACGCCGTGAAGTGGTTTGCGGCCTGCCAGTAAACCCAAAGCAGAAGAAGAAGAAGTGACGTCAGCGGCTTCATTTGCCTAATCCACCCCCAGGTTCAAAGAGTTCTCATGAACTAAATTCTCATGAACCTTTGTGGGAAAAGTACTGCGGTGTGAATGCGCCTAATGGTATACTAAAATCCATGTGAAAAAAAAATTGCTTCTCACTGTTCTTAGGTCAAATATGTATATGCGATTAAAAATGCGATTAATTTCGATTAATTAATTACAAAGCCTCTAATTAATTAGATTAATTTTTTTAATCGAGTCCCGGCCCTAATATATATATATATATACAGTGCAATAATTATTTCATGCTAAATGAAGCTCTGTTGCTTGGATATCACTAGATCCTGTTACAGCGTAATATAAGTACATAACGATTGATGTGCACATTAGCATAATTACTAGCTAGCCGCTAGCTGTTAACTGCCGCCTCGTTAATATCAAATCCATCATAATAACATCATTACCATGCTGTCATGAACGCGCGGTGCTGTTACGTGTACGCAAATTGACGTGCTTGATGTGAACGAGCATTTTGGTTAAAGCTGCGCATGCTCTATGAGTGCACATACGGGTACTTCTCAGGCATGCTGGGTAATCTGTGACGTTTCACTCTCTCAAAAGTTGGGCCATTTTGTCATCATGCGCTAATGAGCAACTCTCATAGGAATGAATGAGGCCCCGCCTCCCACGCTGTATCCAGTTCTTATTATACATCCATGGTCTCATCAGGTCTCAGAGCACCGTGGCTGTCCTCAATTGCCTCACTTAAATAAACACCGGAAGGTACAAGGAAGATCATATTTACAATTTAAAATAAACAATCATTTCATCCAAAGATATTCACCATGGCAATATAAATCCTTTTCCATCATTAATTCATTTATCAAACTATTAATCTAAATAATAACGTTGACTTCATTGTGGCTCTAACACACCGGCCCCTAATTGTTGACGCAGTAGCGAAACAATTAATACATTATAATAGAGCCAAAAAACAAGCAGTTACGCAAAATTTAACTGTCACCAATATACAATCATTGTCATAGTTCATAGTCCAATGTTTGTGTTAGGTGTGTTTGCATGAGTTCAAGAGGAAAAGGGGGGGGGGGCATGTGTGTATGTGATACTGGGTGTCAGAGGTTACTAGCACATGACACCTTGTGTTCAATCAACTGCTTCCAGGAGCAGACAGAGCTTGTCAATTGGTCGCTGTAAGGTGCTACTCTTGGTTTTCACCAAGACACTTCGGACAAGCCCTTTGGACCCTGACAGTGTCTTTATCACCCGGCCCAGTTGCCAGGAATTTCTTGGTGCTGTGTTATCCACGATGACGACAAGATCATTGGGGCGAAGGTTCCGTTTGGGGTTGTGCCATTTGACTCGCTGTTGCATGATTGGGAGTTATTCTCTTATCCATCTCCTCCAGAAAAGATCTGCGAGGTATTGTGCCTGTCTCCATCTCCTCCGTGAGTACAAGTCCTCCTTGTGAAAGAGTCCAGGTGGCATAATCGGTTTTGTCTTTAGCAGAAGGAGGTGATTTGGCGTGAGGGGTTCGAGATCGTTTGGGTCACTTGAAACTGTAGTCAATGGTCTGTCATTCATGATGCCCTCAAGCTCGCACAAAGCTATATGTAGAGTCTCATCATCCAATCTCTGTTCTTTTACAACGGAATACAGAATCTTTGTTACAGGTCTGATGAGCCTCTCCCAAACTCCACCATGGTGGGCTCCATATGGCGGATTAAAAGTCCATTTTACTCCGTCCCCGAGTAATGCATTTTGAATCTTGTGTTGATTCAGGTCTTTAAGAGCAGCTCTCAGCTCTTTCTGTGCTCCCACAAAGTTTGTGCCGTTGTCTGTCCTGATGCTTGTCACCTGCCCTCTGCGACATATGAATCTGCGCAAAGCATTGATGCAGGAGTCAGTGTCCAATGAGCTCGAAACTTCCAGATGTATGGCACGACTCACAAGGCAGGTGAAGATCACTCCCCAACGTTTTACATTTGCTCTGCCTCGTTTAACCTCCAGGGGTCCAAAGAAGTCGATACCAACATGAGTAAAGGGTGGTAGATCTGGAGACACCCGATCCTCGGGGAGGTCAGCCATTTTCTGCTCTCCAACTGTGGCTAGCATTCTTCGGCAGAAAACACAGGCTCTGATTATCTTTCTGGCTGGCGAGTTAGCACGAGGCAACCAGAATCTTTGATTTAGTCTTGAGAGCATGTGGCTTCTCCCCGAGTGTCCAATCTGCTGATGGATGTGGCCCAGGATCAGTTTGGATACAGTAGAGTCTCTGGGCAGGATAATGGGGTTCTTCAGATCCATTGGCATTGCTGATTTGCTTATTCGTCCTCCCACTCTTAGCATGCCTTCAACTAAGATTAGGTCCAGCTTCCTGATAGAGCTGCTTGCTCCTACTTGCCTTCCCTTCTCCAAAAGTGCAAGTTCCTGAGAGAAGTAACGTCTTTGCTCAGAGTGAATTATTGACCTTTCAGCTTCTCTAATGTCCTCCGCAGACAGATGTTGTGATCCAAATGTCAACTTTAGCTTGTTCATTTTGTCATTTAAGGATTTCAAAAGAGTCCCATTTGGGGCAAGGTCCGTCTTTGCAGATTTCCTTCTTTGATTTAGCAGAAGA